TTGATCCCAGACAGAGTAAACACTGTAGAGTTGGGCATGACCTCCAGGGGCATTGTGGGCATCGTCTGCAAAGAAAAACAATTAGTTTCACGGGGTTTTTGGTTAACCTTCTAAAAATGTGAAGATTTTGCGTGGACGTGAGGTTCAATGTCTTTGTTAGATCAGTTGGTTCCACATCATTAATCAATTTTAACAAGTTAAAATAATTTTGAAGATTCATCTACAGTATGTATATATGTGGGCACTGCTCTGTCTTCTACATTTGCTTCTGAAGTGTTTTCAATCATTTTTCTCACATTCAGAGTAAAACCGTGATCCACTCTGTGAAGTGCTTTAGACTCCTTGATAAGGGCTGGAACTAAATCCTGCACACAGTACAGCCCTTGGGAAGGAGAGATTGGAGCCCTGACATCTCTACATGGAAGCACCCCCATACCTGCCTATGTCTGGTTCCTTTCAGGTTCCTCTAAAGCAGGGGTCTCCAACTCCGGTTCTGGAGAGCTACTATCCAGTTGGTTTTCAATCTTACCTGGCTTCTGATGAGCCACACCTGTTCTCGGATAAATACCAGGACCAGGTGTGGCTCATCAGAAGCCAAGTAGGATAGAAAACCTACTGGATAGTAGCTCTCCAGGACCGGAGTTGGAGACCCCTGCTCTAAAGCTTGAGGTCCTCATTCTTGGTCCTACAAATAAGATCTAAAGGCACAGCTGGGTTGTCTTTTTTAGTTTATGGTTAATTTCAGGACAGTCGGCCCAAACATTAGCACTCAGTGGTTAGATCCTTATTTTGACCCTGCTGAATGAGGGCACATCGCCCCCCTACAGCTTGAACAATGAAAGGACTGAAAGATCACTAATAGCCGCCTGGCCCATGAAATCCCAAAGGTGATTCAATGCAAATACATCTTTTTCATGATTTTACCTACTGTAAGCTGCATGTTACTGAAGTATGTGTTTTGCAGAAATTATTTAACATACTTGCTTATATATTTACCTTTTTGTTACTTTTTTCTTAACTGTTTCCTGGTGAGAAGCAATTCCTCTTTTTAAATGGATATGAACTAAAATTCCTCACTTCTTTCTGAATGTACACAGACTTACATGCATTGTCAGGCTGTGTCCAAGTTCAACGTGTCTTTAGCAGAGGATTATGTCTTCAGATTTTAATACCAATTAATATCACATCGTAAATGAAAACGTCTTGAATATAAACATGAAGCACTTGTTTAGCTGACCTCTATCTTTACTCAGATTTAATCATCTTTCCTACCCCAGTGTCTTTCTGAAGCGATTTCAGTTACTTGCCTTTTTCTCAGTGGTACAACCAGCAAACCCAGAAGTCCAGACTAATGGCTGCTTCTATAAAATATAAAAAGCCAAATGATGTATGTTGGTCACTTACTTACTTATTAAATAATACTAAAGCATTAATGTTTCAAACTGGTACGACATTTTTTTAAATTAAAATTATTATGAAACATTGAAGGAATATATGAAACCCAGTATTCATATGGAATTTTACAAACATGTTTTCAGCATAAATATAAGTAGCCTAATGTTTACAAAGTAAATGAATGAATAAATACATATATAAAACTATAATGTATGGTACCTGTTACTGCCCATCCCTGATCTTTCTGAAAATAAATGTTCATTGAATTTTATCGTCCCTCTTATAGGAGGGAGAAAGGCAACTGGGAATTATGGGAATTATGGTGATGAAGAGGGAGGGGCCCTGCACTAAGGTAGGAAAATAATGGCTTCCCAACAAGTAGAACTATTCATTCTAAAACAACAGGACAGTCTGAGATTTCATTGCCACCGTCATTCTCCAAAAACCCCATTAAGGAACACAGCAGATCTGGTGACTATTTCATAGTTTCAAACCATCCAAAAGAGAAGCTATTAGGCAGGGAGTTCTCGAAAGGTGCCAAAGGTGTGAAGCTGACAGAAAGACCCCTGTAGTGTCTGTTGGTGTGTGTGTGTGTGTGTGTGTGTGTGTGACAATGGACAATCTAGAGATACCACTTAGCCTGCTGTATGCTTACAGTCTGAAAACATGTAGAGAGTCCAGTGATGGTCTAGCATCCCATCAGTGGTGTACCCCAGCCTTGTGCCCTGTGCTGTCTGGGGCAGTCTCTGTCTCCAGGGCCTCCATGACCAGGATAAGTTTGTATTTTACTAAAAATGTCTGTTACATTTCAGTCACAGCTGTTGAGGATTTCTGTCCCCGGTGGGGATTCTGACTGCTGTGTCATTTTCCCAGCTGGGGGGGCCTTTGACTCAATGCCCGCTGGCCTTGTGACTCTGCATTATGCATACGGTGTCCACCAAGGCCTCGCACTCCAAGGTGTCCCTAAAGTGCACTTTCTGTTACTTTACTGAGGACAGAGACAAAGTTATGGAGTCAGACTGGAATCAAAAAAATGGATAATGAATCATTTAGAGGTTTTGTTTAATGAAGCCAGATGGAATAAATCTTTTCAGTAGGTTATTATGAAAGTTTTCTTTTGGTTCTGAGTGGAAAATGTTCACCCGCACAAATAATTATTAACTATTCGCTCCTGATTTCCACCAAAGCTGGACCCTTCCCTGTACCCAAATTCTCTGTACTATACAGCTGCCAAACCCAGGTAGATGTCGACCCAATATTCTGCATGCTAAGTACAGCCCCTTTGTACTGCAGACAGCAATGACCCTCCAGCCCACAATAATATTCGGATAAACAGCATTCATCTATGGCTACCAGAACCCAGTCATGATCCAGTGTCTGACAATACAGAGCAATGCCAGTTCATTGCAGTCCCACACTTAGCAGTGTAGTAGTTTGTAATGTAGAAATCCATACAGGCCCTAACATAAATGAGCAAACTATTCATTAGATACAAAATGATGTAATTTTCTAGGTGCAACCATGTGTGCCTGACCTTGTCATGTACTGTATCTTCTTTAATTAAGCACCAATAACAATGAGATTCTCTTGACACCCATGGCCTACAAACCCTATGGGTGATGGGAGAGGTTCAAGTTCATAAACATGTTAATCAGACCATTAGCCATTAGCTGTTAGGTCATTAGTCCATCAGATTCCCTACATCCCCTGGAAACCAATTTAAAACCATTTACCCAGGAGACCAAAAGGACAAAACACACAAATGAAGTCCTCTGTGGGTCTGACCGGGAGGATGGAGTGAGCTAACCTTGGTGGACCTCGGGGAGACCCTGTAATGTAATGACCTCCCTTCTGACATGACTGTGGCTTTGAGCGTCAGTGACCCCAAGGAGAAGCTGCCAGAGTATGTTCTCACAGGTCAGGACGTGGCAGATGAAGGCCTCAATTATTGGGTTGAAATAATTTACCTGAATTATTTAAGTTTTCTTTTTGTTTCACTTTCCTAGAAACTCTCAATATATTCTAGAATTTATATCTACACGGTTCAGTAACTTCCCTAAGGCCTGGTTGTAGATTTTGTACAGTTAAAAAGGGGCTTTTCCACGTTGTCTGCCTGGGTGATGCCCTCCGTAAAGTTCCTCACCAGAAAGCAGACCATCTGGGAAATGGCAAGAAGGGCCGGCAGCTCCATGAAATGGTGCTAACTGAAATGTGAACAGAATCACTCGATGTAGAGAAACAGCAATTTCTTTGCATGTGAGGGACCCAGCTGTGTTGAGGCTATGTAGTTAAATCTAGGGGCTGAATCACAGGTGTGTGCAACAGGCTGCCAAAGTCAGCTGGGAAGTTTAGTCACATGATGTAAGCGGGAATCTGTGTACACATGCGCTGAAAGATGTGTATATGAAACATTTTTTCAGTGGGGGAGGCTGGATAACAAGTGATGAAGAAGTATTTTCAGTCCTGTGAAAAGTAGCTGGTCAAGAATGCCTTACAAACACAAGACCAGACGGAGATATACAGGGCTTTACTTGTGCCAGATCCTGCAGGAATATAATAAAATTAAATATAAAAAATAGCATGCATTGTACTTTTCAGATACATTTTCTTGCAGTGTCATGTCCTTTATTAGTTTAGATTTATTCTTAAAAATGCACAATATGTTTTATCATGCGTCCCACCTTGCTACCCCCCCCCCCCCCCCCACCCCCTGCTCACATGTGCCTTCATGTTCCGGAATTGCCTGATTTACAACTTAAGCACTGGAGTTAAGGGAAAAATGTGCCTACCAAAGTGTCCTCAGGCTAATTATACTGATTAAAAACAGGGATATAAAACTATATCACAAGGCTGGGGTATTCGGGGCAGAGGCCCTGAATGAATCGGAACAAGCCCCATATGTTTTTATTTAGCTACGATATTTTAGCAACCATACAGTTTGAGAAATGGGACTAAGCACAGGGAGTCTGAAGATCCTGTAAACGATCCTGTTGATGCAATAACTGCAATTTCATCAGTCAGCAAATGAAGAGAGAAAAAAAGTCGACATTCACAGCACATGAGGTCAGAAAGGCTGTGGGCTTAAAAATCAGATGCTGGCTCCAAGGCATCTTTTGAACAATTAAAACTTTACAGTGCTACTTTTAATGTATTTCAAGACCTCATTCCGGACCTTACTCAATTGCAGGCCATAAATCAAAGGATTGAGAAGAGGAGGTACTATGAGAAACTCTAACGCCAGGAAGTGGCGTAAGCCCTGTGGGAAATCTTTGGATCCGTATCGACTGAACATTGTATCAAACAGAAAGGCCACTGTCACGTTAATTAACGACAGTAAATGTGGAGTACACGTCTGCATTATTTTTTTTCGATTCTCTGAGGATTTCAAGCTGGTTTTGATAAGTTTTACATACGAAAACATAATTAAAAGTGAATGTCCCGCGTACGTTAGTATTACAGTGTAGGAAAGAACATTATACAATGTAGTTGAGAAACAAGACATTTTAACAATAGCCCAGTTCTCGCAGTAGAGCTTCTCAATGTGTGATCCACACAGAATTTGTCTAGAGCTCATAGTAACCAAAATAGACATGCAAAACATGGGGGCTATCCATGAGAACATAGTCAGTTTAAAGACGGTCCCCCCCGTCATGACTGTGTGATACTCCAACGGCCTGCATATGGCCACAGACCTGTCATAAGACATCATTGTTAACGTGGAAAAGTCACACAGGACAGAAGAGTAAATCACAAAAATCTGAACGAAACATCCAGGCCGTGAGATTTCATGGACGTCAGAAAGTAGATCATAGAGGAATCTAGGGTAGAACCCCGAGGTTCCAAACAGTCCGTTGAGACAGAGGTTACAGAGAAACATGTACATGGGCTCATGGAGCGGCTTCCTCAGG